ACTCTCGTGACACGTGTGGTTCACAAAGAAGGTTTACTCAGGCGTAACGTAGTAGTCTTAACCCTGATTGTTCATTGGAAGGACTGATAATGAAGCTCAAGCTCAGATACTTTGATACTAATGCGAAGAGAGATCTCTTTGGAGAAGACCCTGATGCTGGGAAAGATTGAAGGCAAAAGGAGAAGAGGACGGCAGAGGATGAGATGGTTAGATAGCATCACTGAAGCAATGAGCATGAAACTGAGCAAACTCAGGGAGGCAGTGAAGGACAGGAAGGCCTGGCGCAATATGGTTCATGGGGTCACGAAGAGTCGGACACGACTTAACGACTAAACAACAACAACAACAACAACTAGAATTTCACACTGAAGCCTGCAGCTTTGTTGCATGAACCATTGAGTGTCTCTTCAGTTGCAGCAGGAATAAACCCAATGAATGAATGAATGAATGAATGAATGAATGAATGAATGAATGAATGACTGACTGACTGACTGACTGATTGCTGGGACACATTAAGCTATTTTGGCTGTAACTCACCAGGATGAACTAAACTATTCATGAGCATACTTTTATTCCTAAAGTGGTCTCTCCTATAACTGAGCACTTTGGCACCTCTTCACATTCCAACAGTTGAACAGTACCACCCTTCCTATAAACTGGATGATTTTACAGGTGAAATTCTATCACAGCCTTGGGCAAAGGACATCACTTCTAGTGGGGATTGATTCTGCCTTTTTTTGGTGCTTATCTATTATAGCAGTAGGATTGTTGACCTGTTGTTTTCCCCAGAAGAGTATTCCTCAGCTGAGGCCTTAGTATTTGCCTAGATGTTTCATGGAGGTTTTTACTATTTTGTGATTCCATATCCTGGAATGATCATTTAGAACTGGCTTCTCCTAACCAAGAGATGGGTCAAGATAACTCAGCTAGTTTTCACTGCATCCTTGAGCAGAATTCCCCAATCTGGTAAGTGCCTGGGGAGTATCATGTTGAGGAAGAGGGTCTTTGGTTTACTATGGTTCACTTCTGACTAGTGATCTAGTTGGAGCCCCTAGCAGTTAACATATTGCATAGCCTGAATCTACAGCATAATGCCGGTTTGTTCCAGATAATTTAGCAAGCCCCTCTGAATATGCATTGGATACCTCCTGCTTTCTCTGAAAAATTGTCTGTCAAACTCTAAACATATGCATATGAGGTTGTAGTCTACATTTAATATACTAATTCAAGCCTTTGTACTCTATTCTGAGCTGAAATCAAACTTTATGTAGGAGAGAAAAAAATAGCTGGAACCAGATCATGCTCCTTACATTTCATTTATGCAATTTTGGGGCATAATGAAAAATGTCATTCTTAAACTGTTGAAAAATCATAATAAGAGATAGGAAATTAGACTCATAGTTCTATCAGGGATATCCACAGGATATGTTAAAAAAAGTTAAGATGGCAATCACAATGGTGTGATCAAAACTTGACCATTTTTAATGTTTGCTGCACATAAAAACAGATGAAGTTCTTGACTTTTTTTGAACGCTATGTTGTAGCATGATCCCAATGTTAGTCTTTCTTAGCTAATACGTTAAAAAACTAGTTCTGTTTGCAACTAGTATAGATGTTAACCTAATATCCCTATTAATGTGGTATTCAATAACACATATGTATGGGAAGGATTGATTATTCTTACCAGCAACTTTGTGTATCAGATTTTAACTGGTATGAGGAAATATTTCCCTAGCACAAAGTATAAATGAAATAAAATGAAATGAAATAATTATAGGAATAACAGTTTGATGAAGAGTTAGATAAAATAATGTCTAATATGTATGTGAATACACACAGGGATATTAGAATTAAAGGATTTGGAGGGAAGAGGGTGTGGATTTATTTTCTATTGTCCCAGAAGACAGGACTGGAATCAATAGGTTAAAATTACAAGGATGACGATTTAGGGTAGACATCAGGAAGAACTTCCTGTTTGTATAAGTTGTCAGTCAAAGGAACAGGTTGTCACAGGAACTGGTGAGTTCTCCTTGACAGGAAGTCTTCAGATAGAAGCTGGATGGTCATTTGTCAGAGATACTGTAGTGGATCCTGCACTGAGCAAGGGGTTGGATTATGACTTCTAAGATCTCTTCCAACTCTGATTCTATGATTCTATTAGTTTATGATTTATGAACATTAGAACATCATCTTTCTGTAAGGGCCTCTGCATTTATTTTATGTATTTATTCTTCCATGGTCTAAGAAGAGAAAGGGTTTTATAGAAGGGTCTAGGTCTGATAATTTAAAAACTAAAACACCTACAGCCATGGGCCCCCAGATAGGATGAGATTATTTAACTGGAGAAGGAACTGGTTACCCTTTTTTCCCCAGTGAGTCAGCTAATTACAGTAAGTCCAAAGTGGCTATGAATAAAATACCAATTTTCCAAATTAGGATTGCATGCATCCTTCCAAACTAACAGAAATTTGGAAAACTTTCTCTACCAACCTCTGTGTAGCCACCTCACCCTGACTAATTTGTGCATTGAGGAAACGTGATTTAGATAATTTCAAACTATTTAAAAAGGTGTAAAATATGTACTAGCATGCAGAAAGCTCCCCTCTTTGAATCATTAAAACAGCCGCAGCTTTTGCAAGGTCTGTGTGGCTGCTTTGAAGACCATCCCTGCAGTCTCCATATGTATGAACACAGCTCCTTTGTTTCACTAGCAGTTCCAGTGGGTGGAGTTATATGCAGATGAACAGGCAAACAGAAACAGCTTTTGAAGCAACTGCATAAGTTCTGCACAAGATGTAGCTGCTTTAACAACTGTAAGAGAAAGACATCTTTGCATCCCATCATTCCTCTGAAATGGGGATTTAGCTTCACCATAACGTAGTAAAAAGAATGAAGTGTTTATATGCTTTATTTATTTATATGCTTATTTAAAGCACATTATCTCACTTTCCTACTGTACTATGAGATGCTCAAAGCAGCTTGGAATAATTCTGTTTGAGGTAAAAGCTTCATATCTTACTGGAGATTCAAACTGGTGAGCTTAATGTTTTAGCTATAGTGGTGACTGCACTGAATTTCAGAACAGCTGTCACCATCACACTCATTTTTAATCACCAAGTCCAAATAGAACAGAGCCCCTAGTTCACATACAGATATTACCCTTATTCAAGTTACCAGTGTAAACAATGGCTGGACTTTTCTTTGAATAAATAAAACTATAGGCTAAGCAAAAAGCAAGGAAAATTGAAGCTTACCTCTGGTCATTACAATTCCTGCAAGGGATTTGTGACATGCATGGAGGGCAGCAAAGTTATCCGTCACCTCCTGAAACTTCTCTGTAATTATTTGGTACACGGAATCAGCAAATTCCTGGAAAGACATAACCAAAAGCCATTCTATCAACTTGGCATGACTGAGCACTAGATTGCATCTTCAGTTTTCAAACCCACTGGTCATCTTTCTCCTTTAATCAGAATGGCTTGTCATAAATTGTGTAGCCCATCTCTTTGCATTCACGTAGCCTTCAGACAGAAAATATCTTCAAACTGAGGACTGTCCTGAAGAAGAAGACACAGCCACTCTAACCGGCTCCTAAGCTGTATTGCATAATTACCAGTCTTTTCTTGATCCTTCTGACTTTTTCAGACTGTGATTGGTTTGTTTTTATTCATTTATTTATTCATTTATTTATTTATAAATTTGTAGGCCACCCATCTCCCCCCAATGGGTGACAAGTCATTGACAGCCAATTCATTTTCTTTCATTTTACTTGCATTTTGGCCATGATTTGTTGCAGCTCAGACCTGGTTTGAGTTTGTTTTCACTCCCTTGGATGTTGCACACTGCTTATAGACTGTTTCCCCAAATACAGAATCCAGCTAATATCTATCCAACCATGGTTATTGCCTCTTTTCATCAGAAAGAATATGCTAATCCATCCCTGCAAAGACCTGCCATTTATTTCATGGACCAAGAAAGATACAGCAAGAAAGGCCAAACCTGAATTATAACTAAAATAAAGTAAAAATAGTGAATGCTTTTGGAGAGTCTTTGAGCAACAGCTAAACCGCAAAATTCTTGCATTTTTAAATGACTACAAAACATGGGAGCAGATGTTTGAAGCTCATAGTTACATTAAAAACAATACATAGTTTTTTTGACAATATATAAGCTAATAATTTTATGTAACATGATTTGTAGGCTGACATGATTTGCCCATTTGTTAGGTAAAGTCTTGCACCAACCCAATTCCTGCTTCTCCCAGGAGTAATTCACAAAATCTACTGTACTACATACTACCTAGCATGGTTCCAGCTTCTGAGTAGACATACTTAATCAAAGAGCGGGTGACTAAACAGCCAGTCAGCAACTGAGATTATTTTGTGTTACTAGCACTTGACCTTTGTTTTGATAAATTTTGATGTTTTTTAAGATCTGACCAGCTTACCAGATGTTTTGGACAGGACTGACCTACTGGAACTGGTCTATGTCTTCCTAGACCACTCACTTAAATAGTTACTTCTGGACTCTGTAGAGTAGGGGGAGGGCACATATGCTGTGGCTTTGATCTGCCATATAGCTGAGCAGATGCTGCCTCCAATTTTTTATCATCCCACTTACACTGACTTCACTGCTTCTCCTAGGTTCTACAGATGTAAGATCTGGCCAATACCTGCCAGCAATTTGTTAAAGCAAGAATCTGAACAGAGCAGAACAGAAGCCTATTTAAATGAAGACCTGCAAGTAAACGCTCCATGCTGTGAAAGCACCTCGCCTTCTGCTCTAAGAAAAAGTAGCTAAATCAGAACACGCTTCCACCGAGTGCTTTGTCTCAAAAGATTTGTTCACATTCCGTATGCCATATGGTTTTAGAGCAGCTATAATAATAAGTGTTCATTAATTATTAAGCTTTGCTGTAAATAAATACAGAAAAGCTGTCTTGTTCTCACAGTATGAGGAACAAGCCGTGCCTGCACAGATGTAAGTCATGCATTCTCTTTCCTGTTGACATCTCCCTGATTCCCCCTCCTTCTCCCCATGTCTTTTTTAAAGTGAATGTAATCAGCACCCATCTCAGGGCACCAAGATATGATCTCTTCTTCCAGTGCACATACAAGAGAGCACTCTTGCAAACTTGTTTGCCATTGAATCTCTATGGCTATGGCAGTCCATTGTAGCTCTTAAATATGACTCATTCATACCACCTTTCAACTGCTTGATCAGTTTTGTTTTGTAAATTTCAATAATCTATGGAAGATGCCTGTGGAAGAAGGCGAAGGAATCAACATACCTATGGATACTGGCAGAGGAACATGAGGATGCAGTCAGGATACACTAATTGGGGAGAAGCAGGCTCCAACACCTTCAGATCTGCTTTACGTTCTCCTAAACACATTACTTTGATCAGTCATGTTAAACAACCCTTGCTTTCATGGTGATGCTATGTAATGCTGGATCAGTTTACATAAGACATGAATTAGCTATGATTTAACCATGAGCAATTCTACTTGAGAGGGTGAAGAAGAGGGAGCAGATCTCTTAGCTTTGCTCTCTATGGTTTTTAGTATCTCATCAACATAAACTTGAGAGGTTACAATGAGGAACCATTCAGTCTATAGGGACTTCAATCTATAGCTTATCAAACTGAGTGATGATTCTGAGTGTACACAGTGTTGGGCTTGAGGAATAAGGTGGGTGTATCAATCCGTCCATAAGCAATGATTTCTGTGACTGTGTTAACAGAGATTACTTTGGTTATGATGCTGGAGAGGGGAAGACTGCGTGTTCTGAGTAACTTCGGTATCCGCACAGAGATATCTTTTACAGGAGATCCTCAAAGCTTAACAGCTGTCATGTACTGATGATTAATCCACGTGGAAGGTCTATGTAATGGTAACTATGACCTTCTCATCCACTCTCTTGTAATAGTCAATCTGCTATCTCCTGAGAGACAAGCTTGTAGTAGCTGTTCTCCCCCACTCAGTGGTGGACCTACTAGAGCAGCCTGCCTCAAGAAGTTGATTGTTATGAAATGAATTTCTAATTTCCAGGACCTACTAGAATAGCCTGCCTCCAGAAGTTGATTGTTATGAAATGAAATTTCTAATTTCTTTGTCCAGAGAAAGCAGATTTCACTTCCATGAGACATTCATTGGTTTCATTCAGGCTTTATTGCTCTATGAGACTTGACTGACACTAAATGCAAAAGTAAATATATTGACAAGTGGTCAAGCATTTTGTTATCAGTTATTTGGGCAGCTGTTCAGTTCCTGGTGAATTTGAACCACAAGTTTTCTATGGACAGTTTGTCTAAGAATTATTAAATACTGTTGATTTTTTAAAATTGCTACTGCTCAATGTTAAGGGATGTAATGTGTTTTTAATTGGTTAATTATTTCATTTTAATTCTATCATTAAAACCTTGAGAAGTGCTTTGAAGGATAAGGAGAAAAAAATCCAGATTTACATGGAAATTCTTTCCTGACATCAAACATGATGGTCAGCCAGACCCAAAGAAGATTTATCTATCAAGAGAAACTTCCTTCATAGAAGAAGGTGAGAATTATTCAATGCTACAAAACAATATAAGAAAGTTTATTCTTTTTTAAAAAGATTAAATCATAATCTTTATTTCTTCTAATCCTACAGTCTGGTCCATCATTCTTTCTATAGTGCCCTACATATAAGCATCACATTTATGAACAATTAATTAGCTTAGAGGGACATATAGCTTCTGGAAGAATTGTTCTTAAAACATTAGAAAGAACAAACACATTTTAATACTGGAGTTAAACATTTCAGTAAGCACAGTTTTCTTTACTCAATTTGGCAGCAAATTCCAAAGCAAATAAACGCAGAGATCAAATCATGGCCAAATAACCACTTGGCTTGAGAGAAAGATGATAAGAGTCTAGGCTTTTGCCAAAGTCAAAAGACTGACTGGAGATTTTTAAAGATCAGCAAATCCATTGCATGAGAAATTAGAACTAACAATGAGTATTTGTTAAAGAAAAGCAGAACACATTCTAAGAACAAAACAAATTGATTTGTTAGAGAATTGAAACAACAGAACTTACTTCCTCCCTTTTATGTTTGCCAGAGAGTTCTTTTTATAAAGTTTGTCATTGCTTGAATCCTTTTTCTATATCACCAATAGAACAGGCCAAAAACATTTTGCTGCCTTAGCAAAATCTTTTTGATGTCCTCTGACTCTGAAAGCAAAGAGCAAAGCCAAGATATGGCTTTTGAGGCAGAAAATTAAACACAAATCTTCCTTTATTCCAGGGGTATACTTTTGGTGTTCAGGGGCCAGTTTTAACAATCTGGTCACATCTTACAGATGGCCAGGGCTAGCATTTGGGGATAAGTGTTTTGTTTAGGTTTTACTAGTGTTGTGCCTATTTTATGGTTAATTCTTAATTCTTCAGTTTTGTGGATTTCCCAGGGAAACGCTACAGTCATTTTTCAGCAATCTTGATCTGAGTGGGCTCTCAGGGCTGCAGAAAGTGGGCATATGCTGTTGATTCCCTTGAAGTAAAAATACAACAATAGTGAATTTGATAACTAATGATTTGCTGACCTTTTCTGACACCCCAAGTAGGCCTCCTCTCTTTGTGAATGGGTTTGATTTTGACCTGTCTTATGAAACGTTTTATCCTTTTGTTTTGTTCTGTGAAGAAAGCTCTATTTGTTGGTGATTTTAATGTTGATGGCTGAGAATCTCTATTGTGAGCATGACTGTTTCAGATGCAATATGTTTCTGAATATTTCTTGGCAGACAGCGGCTGGAGAAGTCCATTACTTTATTGTCTGCTTGTGGCATTTGTTTAACCAACTATTTATCAGATTACCAGTCCATTTAACTCACTACTGTCTGCACCAATTGCAATTCTCCAGGGTTTCAAATAAAAGGCCTTTCATAGATCTAGATGCCTGAGATTGAACCAGGCATTTTTTAGTGTCTAGTACAAAGCAATGGTCCTTCTCCAAGTGAAATCCTTATCCTGTAGATTCCATTGAGTCTGATGATAACCTTGATGCCTTGAATGGAAATTGGCACAAGAAGAGGAATGAACCCCATG